TGTGTCATGCCACGATCAGGGCTCTTCTCGATACCTCCGGTTCGATCCGATTCGACTTAGATGGCATCCGAATCCCGCTTCGATTCGGCTTCGGATTCCGATCTGGAGTCCGATTTCTCCATGTAGGCCTACTAGTCTACCCGTTTTTGCCGATTCGACTGCTCCCGGATTGGCTGCCGATTTCTGCCGATCCGATCCCTGTCGATCGCCGATCCGACTTCTCGATTCGATTCTGGGCTCTCCTGCACGAGCTCTGGGGGCTTCGAGTTCTTGACGCTGCGCGTCTCCCCCACCGCCCCGCCCGAAAGGGTCCAGCATGTCCCTGTGCGGGGGGCTGAGGCCAGACGTCAGCCCACGCCCAAATAGATCTGCTTCTCTTTCTCCACGATGAGCACCGTACCCCCACGTGAGTCCTCCCGGTGACAAGCTGAGGCTCCAACCCGAGCAAGCACCAAAAACAACAAAAACAGACATAGTTTCCCTCTCCTCCGCCCTGGTCCTCGCCCGCCCGCCCGCCCGCTTCGTCCCGCCGGCCTGGGTCTCCCTCCTGCTCCTTCGTCGCTCGGCGGCCGCAGTGGGGGGCGGGTCGCCCCGGGGGGCAGCGTTGCATTGCATCCCGAGGCCCCGATCGCCCGTGTGCTCGAGGAGGCATCCCGGGCGAACGCGTGGATTGCCCACCCCCCGGGTCGAGCCACCCCTCCTGCCTGCCCCGAGGCATCGCCTGTCCGCTTCTCCCCTCCCTGGACCTCGCCGGGCAGCACCGTGGCCTGTCGCGAGCAGAGCGCACCCAGGGACGAGAGGCGGCCCGGAGGGCTGGCGGGTGGGCGGCCGAGGCGCCGACGGGGCCTGTAGCATTTATATCTGCGCCCGCATCGGTACGCGCACACACAAGGGCGCCCTCGAGGTGCTGTCAACCCGCACAGTAAGGATGGGCCACCTTCCCAAGGGTACCCTTGCGGTCTTCCCTCCTCGGCCCGTCCTTGGCCACCTGCGTTGGCCGCGCCCCGCTCGAAATGCTTCGAAATGGGCGTCCAAGGGCCTTGCATCCTTACCGTGCGTCCTTCTGATGCGGGTCGACTGTACGTACATCGCGCTTCGCGGTTCGGCTCCGATTTCTCTTCATCCCAGGGCCGGACCTAAACGCTGTTTTGCTGGACTTCGGCTGTGTTTTACTTTTCGTTTTGGCAGGGGAGGTGCAGGAAAACAGGTAGAGCAACACGAGCAACAAAACGAACTCAAAACGAAAAACAACGTTTAGGTCCAGCCCTGGCGAGAAGTGATTCGCGCGTGGCGCAGCGCGAAACGCGAAGTTGGAGGCGCCCTTGGTACATCGGCATGTTGGCACGGCGTATGCTGCACTGCCGCATGCACATTCGTCGGCGCGCAGAAGGCAGTGGCGCGAATAGGGCGGCCTTTGGAGGAGGCGGGGGCCTCCTCATAAGGCCGGGGGCTTCTTGGAAGTGCCTTGAGGTCTCTGAGAAGGCTTCCCAGAATCCAAGAGGGGCTCTAAGAAGCACCATGCCTTCTTAGAAGCCTTTTTTCCCCCTTGGATTCGGTCGGACGTGTCCCCCTACAGGTGCATTCTGGACAAACAGTTGAAACTAGCCCAAACATATTAGAAAACAGCATACAAATCCCCCAAACATCGTCCCAGATTATTTTTTGAATGTATTTGAATATTCCTTTTGTAGAGGGACAAGCCCGACTTAACCCTTGAAAGGCGGCCCCATCGCGCCACCCCCCTCTGCGCGCCGCCAACGCATGCCATGCCACCTGCTCCTGTAACGTGGATGCCGGCCCTAGGCCAGGAACATCGGGGGTGGACAGAACCCCCACCCTGACACGTCAATTCGTGAATTATCCGTTTTCGGTTCTCGAGAGGGCGCCGCGGCCGTCATTTTCCAGGCTTGCGCCCGCCAGGTTTGGGCCCGAGGTTGTTTTCACTAAACCTCGTTTTGCTAAAGGGGTGTCTGTCCATCCCCGAGAACACGTTTGCCCGTTCACGCATGCTCGCCTCTGCCCTGGCAGTAGAGACGCTCAGTCTTAGGCACGGAGGGCTCACATTTCCCCCACGCGCTCAAGCGCGTCGGAATGAGAGTTCCGAAGAAACAGCTGCGTGAGGCGTTGGTGCGCGGAGTCGAGCGGCTGGGGGGAGGCCCTGGGGGCTCGACGGTCTCCCTTCCGCAGCATTTCTTCTCCTTCTCTGCAGTGGTGCCTAGGAAGCTGCGACGATAGTCAGTGGAGTTCGATTGCGTGGCGTGATCCTATTCGAGTTGTCGTCCGCGCTTACCGCGTGCATCACCAGACGCATGGGCATCAGTATCCACGCTGCGGCCGCCTCGTCAGACTGAGCCGGACAGGCCGCCATGGTAACATTTGACAGATGTCCTTTCCTTTTTCCTATTCGCGCGGGCTCTGCGCATGTGCTTCTCAGCCACAGTCTCTGTGAGCCTGTGGCCATCGGGAGACCCTGAGCATGCCCGTCTTTGCATATGTGTGCTTGTGGTTTTGCAGTGTGCTTTGCCCAGTCTTCGCGTGAGAGTTCGCCTTACTCTTCGTTCTCCTTTATCTCTCTCTCTATCTCTTCGTCATTTGATGTTCGCTTCGCCTGTCCTTTCTTGCGATCGCAATCGATTTCCTGCCTGCCGAGGTTGTGAGCGGCTTGTCGAGATATTTTTTGTGTTCCTTCTTTCCGGCTCTTGTGATTGGCTTCTGGTCGCCATGCTGAACTCGGTTCGTGATGCCGAAGCAGCGGCTCATCCATGGAAAGACTCTATGCCCCGCTGACGTCGTCGGGCCCGCAGTTGGGTGCGATCATATACCTACTGGGGTCCAGAGTAAATCAGGCCTTGATCACCAGAGATTGTCGCACCCATGACTTCTGCAATCCTTGGTCGACATCCCCGATTTTTCTGAGTGGTTCGTGTTGAAGGGCACACCTTCCGACCATTGCGATGATCGATTTGGGCTCCTCCGCTTCATCTTCATGCGATTCCCCAGAGACCTCGCGCCAGATCCCTGGTTTACCCTGACTCGCTGGATTCGCTCGCAGATTCCGGGGGGCTGGGGGGATTCGGGGAAGATCTTCGGCCTCAGGGTCATGATCTTCAGCATCAAAGGGCAAGATATCTTGGAAATTGCCGCAACGGAGTTTTGGAATCATATCGAGCAGGATCTCTGATCGGGCCTCATGTTCTGTCGCTCTGGCGCTCCAGCGCCGCACCTGCAGCACCCTCGACAATGCCCATGTGCGGGCGTGCTTCGTGTTTCGTGCTTCGTGCTTCGTGGGGAGATTCGGGGATGGTTGCAGGATGGCGGAGGGGTGACGGA